TGTATGCTACAGTAGTACAAAACTTTACAGTTTTACTTATAAAAGGAAGCTTTGGATTTATTATTACATTGAAGGATTCATGGATGTGTTTGACATAGAATTTGAAAGAATATAAGTATGATTAATATTGTTTTTACAATTGAAGGATATGCTTGTACTGTACTTTTGATCATAGCTAGGCCTAGGCCTACACAGTATAAACCTAACCCCACAAAAGCATAGGCCCTAGGCCTATAGTATAATATTTATTACCTGTAGTAAGGGCAGGCCTAGGCCTATATGCCTATTTAATTATGGCATTTAATATTAGTAGGCCTACAGTGTTTATTTTCAATTCACTCAAGCATGTCCGGTGGTGACGTATGTATTTGCATCGTCGTCGCAAAACTAAAACAAGAGCTTATCATCTGTGTGGCCAACATTGTAATACGTCATAGATAATTAGCATATCGTCCTAGATTACTCGTCGTCGCATATCTAAAACTCCTTAATATCAGTTTTACTTGTTTACATTGTTTACATTCTGGGACGTGACGTACGTACTAACTTGCGTACGTACGTACGTACGTGTTGCGTAAAGGAGTACGCGCAGACTGTTGAAGGTATGTTAACCAATCAAAAGCGCCAGCGGCAAATCAAACTAAAGCGCTTCGTAACCAAGGCACAACACACACATCATAGGCAAGGCGTACAAGCCCAGTGAAATAGTTTCTTTGCTACAAAAATCACCTTTCCGTGGGTATATTTTGGTAAACTTTTTGTTTGTTGTAGATATAAAACTTAACCATATATATTCATAAAAAAAAACGTTTTGTTGCAATTATGTCCAACTTTGGTGCTTCAAATCCGTATTTCTGGTGGACTAGTTGCAGAACCTACTCGACGAGGTGACCTTAACGTTCTCGCTTGCGCAGATGACTTTTCCTGACGTCATTACTTATACGTCCTACCGTTGCCTTGCAATCGAAAGCTCCCTACTCTCGATTTGTGGGACCTTAGCAAAATAGTTTTCAAGGAGCAATGCTAGTGGAAAGTATTAAGAGTTCGATGGTATATTTTCGGTGTTTCTTAATCCAATCATATACCACTCAGTTAACCAAAAAATGCCCTCTTCATTTTACTAATAAAAAACTAAAGTAACCAAATAAAGGTGGTGACCTTAATTAAGCGCCAAATGTTTGTGCAGAATTTACTTACAAAACAACTGTAGTCTTGAGTATGCGGCTACTTCTTCAGTTACCTGAAAACTTAGTTCTTCAAAGTAGATGGCAACTTCAAGCAAGTTTTCACTATAAATATTTAAAGCAAAAACATGAAATCCCTGGATCACAATATTTTGACACTCAGTTATAGTGTCATATGTTAATAATAAAAAAACACACATATTTTGTGTATCATATACATACACATATATCAAATATAAATTTGAATAATAGATTTAATGAAATCCAGTATCTATTAGGATTACATACAGAAACAAAAGACAAATAAGTGAGTTAGCGAAAAGTCACAGGAAAATTCAGTACATAATGGAAATAATTAAACTCAAGAAATGGAAGTGGGCAGAGCATGTTAGCATAATGTCACACAACAGATAGAAAGCAGCAGAAGACCCATGGATGTCAAAATGATCAGGAAAGACAGCGTAAAAGATGGAGAGACGAGATCGAAAGTGTTGGGGAAGAGTGATAGCTGATGATGATATTATTATTATTTGCTTGGCCTGGTTTAAAGCACCATAAAATCTATTTTATTGCTGATATAAATATCCACATATTACCTTATATATTCCGCAGTGTAACCATGTTCAGCCTGCATCTTCTCTGCTTTAGTCTTTGAGGGCCAAGCTGCCGATGACACACGTTTGTTGTAGAACATTTGCTTACATGCAATCGGGCAATCACAATGTGCATCGCCGGCACTGAAGAATTTTACTAATGGTATAAATTATTGAGTTTATTTATTAAACAATGAAAAGGTTATTATTTAAACACACTAATATTTACAATATCTATTAAAGATTCACAATTCTTTTGGCTCATTTTGGAATTAGAATGTGGTAAAAATCTAGTAATACTTAAATTATCTGAAAAAAAAAAGATAAAAAGGATACTAAAAGGTTTGGATCAAGTGATGGGATTTTCAGCTTTAAATCCTAGTCTAAATGGGTGCCTAACATAGCAGCGTCACACATTCACATGTGTATATTTGCTTTTTCTTTCGAAATAATTATAAATCAGATGTGGGTATAAAAATAGGTAGGAGGGCCAAAGTGAATTTTTGATTTAACACCGAGGGCCGCACCCAAACTTTGATGTGTCCAGTGAACCTCCAAGCTCTACTTTTACACCACTTTATTCTCAATTTTAAATGTTACTTTTTACACATATACTCGCTGTCTGGCCGTAAAAAAAACAAGGTGTTTTCTAGCCAATGTTGCTTGGCAGGCCGCACACATAGGGGTTTTAATTCATTTTGCGGGTCGCAAAAAAGCGCTGTCCGCGGGAAGCACTTTGCCCACCTGTGCACTAAATCAACAAACTAGTTAATAATCAACCTATAAATCAAAAACTTAATGTTCATAGACGCTGTGAATGAGATTTGGAGGTTCCGTTTTAGGTTTCAGGTATATGACAGAAAACATTATCATTTAAAACCATAGCATAAATATTTGTAGCATACTTATTAGAGCAAACAAATGCTTGATCAAATTAACAAATAAAACGTATTATTAATTAACCTTTATTTAAAATTACGTGATTGAAAAATCTAATGTTTAAAATGATAGAAAGCTGTAACTGATGGGGCGATTCATTCGGTGTACACACAAAGGATAACACACGAAAGTCTAAAACAAAGGAGTAATTTCCATTGAGGTTCCCCTGGTGGTGGTTGGGCAGACCTACGCCTTTCCGAAAATTGCACTGCATCATTTATCGTGCATATTGGCCATTGGGTCACCGATCCAGCGGCTTAAATGTCACATTCGAAAGACGTTTAGCCATGGACCTATTAATAAGGTATTTTCTACTGTTTTAGGCATAAAAAATTTTTGGTAAAAAAAAAAGACTTTCCCTACCGACCTACCCATTTTTGGATTTTTTCAAAAAGTGGCCAACACAAGATTTTTTTTGCCTAATAGAATGGTAAAACTGCATCTATAATATCTGATGTGAAATTGAGCTCTTACGAATTTACATAGTTTTATAATGTATATAGTAATTTTTTATCCATTATATGGATATGGACTAGAACATTGTTTTAAAAAAAAAATCTATAGGCCTACTTAATAAATAAATATTAACAAACCATCCTCATAGTATGCGCATTTAATTGCATCCTCGGGGGAGCATTCTGGAACATCGCCTGCAAAAACGAATAGAATAATGGGCCTAGTTGTAAATTTGTAAACGTTTCATCAATTGGGTAACTGGGGCTTTAGTGTTTGAAATCTGATTAAATACAATTTATTTCTTTCTTTTTGTACATACATTAAACGATGCTAGTTTTCGATATAAGAGGTCATTAGGGTAAACATAGAAAAAAAAATTACCGTAAGGACACAGCCAACCACGAATGGTCAAATTCATCGCCTTAGGTAAAATTTCATACTATAAAGACATATTCGTCAACATAATAAACCATTTTATCCACGTAATGGACAATTCAGTCTACGTAACTGACAACATCCATTACTGTAAAATCAAGCTTGCCGTAAAGACAATACAAGTGCGATCACAGTAAAGAATTTCGATTGGAGTTAGGACACTCTTTAGTAGACACTCGATCGTCATTAGGACTAAATAAATTATGACGTCGAGGGCAGCACGTTATAGGTAACAACAGAAAACAGCTCTGGTTAACAATCGTTGCGAGGACAGTTGCAACGAATTTTTAAATATTACTCAGCGTCATGTAGATGCTGTGAACAGTGGAAAATATTATTCAAATTTAAATCTATTTAAATTAAATATAGGCCTATATTTGTTTAGATGGAATGTGTAATGATGCCATCTAATTTCGGAAATATTTGCGTGGTTGGATTTGTCCTTACGACAACTATTTGTCTTGTTTAACTCATAAATGGCCGCCATACTAATATATCATAGTTTTTTATTTTTATAATATAACATATTTATGTTTCATTGCCAATTGCGTATAGGCAATTGCAAATAAAATAATGTTTAAACTTCACAGCGATGAAGAAAAGAATAGAAAAATGTGTAGCAATAAAGATATAGTTAAGTCTAAAGTTTTCGTTAAACATTAACGTACCTAGCATAGTTGAATGTCTACAACCGCACTTTTCAGCCACATATTCGGATTTACATTCGTCAATACAGAGTGCCTCTGTATAAACATTTGAGTACTTAAGTGGTTTGTTTGTACAGTTAGAAGGATACGGATCCGGGAGATTTTTAATCTAGTGATATATGCAAATGAGATGAAACATAATCATTGTTAGGCAAAGTGAACAAATACGACTAGGCTATAGTAAATTGTAGTCACATGTCTCTAAAAGATTCATTAATAAGTATTTAATTAAATTAGTATTTTTGACACTTACATAAACACCAGTTAAAGCAATTTGGGTTAAAAATCCAGGAGCAATAGAAAACCCGTACGTTGTTACCAATGGATGCTCGTCTTGTGGATGTATCAACATCTAAAGTAGATGAGATACGTTGTATTGATAACATACAAATACAAATATGCAACACGAATACACATTCTCAAAATGTAAATGTATTTTCTTCTTTCTTTCACCCCCCTCCCCGCTTCTTTTTTTAATAATGATCCTCCCTTTATATATTGCAGTGCATAATAATATTTTCTGATGTATTTTTTTTTTCTTATTGAAATATTCAGAATAGCATGATTTTAAATAACGATTCTTCGTATTGATAAATGTTGTTACCCGGCTAATGCTATAACGTGAAGACTTCCTTTAGTTAAAAATAATATTGAATACATTTTAAATATACCTTGATCCCAGCCGCTTCGTCTGTCGCGTCAGTGCATTCTGTCTGATTTATGTCGATCTGTAGTTTTAATCCGCTTCTTGAGCCCGCATTGACGATATTCAGTGGTCTATTGCTGTTGCCATTGAACGTATAGCATACGCCGAAGTCGTACAAATGAGTGGTGAAATTTTCTGGCCCACACGGGTAATAAAATTGCCACAGACAATGTACGAGGATATCTTCAATTGGATGGCTTAACTTGTACAACATTTCAGTGAAGTTTAAATTGTTGTATGGTGTAATATTGAACGAACTTTCACGAAAATGGTCAAAAAAGTACTTCTCTTCTTCTGACAATTTCGACGCCCGGATTTGGTTGTAGTTACAGAATGTTACAGCCGGGAAAGCTATCATTTTGTTAGGATAGATTGAAATTACCGTCGTAACAGGAAAACTGTAGTACTTTGATATACTCAAGTACAGTGTAAATGACAGGATTAAAATTGACGATGATACCAAAATAATCCACAAACACCTGAAAATCATTCAGGAAAGCGTAAGCAACTTTATTTGACAATATATAATGGAATTTTGCAACATAAAAAACTTATTTTGTTGAAAGTAAACAAACATTGTGACATTCATTGGAGGTATACTGATAAAAAAGATGATGATGAGATAATGATAATAGCATCGATGATCGATGATCCGGTTTCGAGAAAACAGTTAAGAGTGTTGCAAATATCATCAGAAGACTACCTAATGGTAATTAAACCAGAACGAATTAATACCAACATAGGTTCAAAAGTAGCTTGGATTAGACATACTGCATTATTTAGTTTTGTGCAACATGGTGCAACAGTATTAAGGTAAAATTGCCAAAAGACAAGACAGATTACTAACACAGATTGATTAATTATATATGTGTGTGGGGGTGGGGGTAAGTGTGGTGTTCGTTTGTGGGTGTGTATGCATTTATCAGTGGAGAAGCGTAGAAAAAAAATATTAGGTATCTATTCCGAAGGCATGTGAGCGAAGCTAGGAACAGGACAGACCACCAAGCCCCCCCCCCCCCTGTGTTATAGTCATGTTTTATGCTTCATGCTCATTATGCTTTAGGTCTATTAAACAAATAATAATATTCAAATCTTACTGATTAGTTATACTACAGAAATTCAAGGTTTACCGATTGTACTGGAGGTCCTATATATGTCTATCTGTGTATAAATTAAAACAAATACACACAAATTTGGAAAACAATAGCTGTGTCTCAGCAGAGATACAAAATTATAAAGCATAGCAAACGATATTGGGTTTAATTCCAGTCGGGTGAGCATTTGTTTTTTCCAACATTTGATGATAAAGTTTTTTGTTGGTAACATACACTTATTTGTAGGCCTCTCTGTATAATTACGTAAAGGCATATTTTCAACATTTTATTTTATTGATGTATTCGTTGCCTAATTGTAAGACATGAACATGGTATATTAAAGGGCCGAACGTTTTATCAAAATTTAATTACGTCAACTTTGTACTGCGGTATCAATTCCACAAGTGTGACCATTCATGGCTAACGGGTATATTATGTTATTAGCCTAAGGGTTGATACTAATATGTTTGTAAATAAGGTTATAATGAACATCAATTGTTATTTGATTTATTTAGTGTATTGTATAGAATATAAAAATATAGTTCTTGTGTATCTTATGACGTCATGACGGTAATTTCATCGTGTCAGTATTTGTTATGTTTAAGTAATTGCGATTTTATTACTAGCTAAATTAAAGGGTATTAGAGCAGGAGCCCAGGGGTGTCAGCATAGCTGGAAAGTTAACCAATTTTTGTGTATATAGTAATGTTCTATGTGCCTGTCTATGTAGGAGAATGGGCATCTGCCGGTCCCATTGTGGTGGGTGT